GTGGCACTTGGGTTGTGAACTAATGGATGGAAGCGTGCTCTTGCTCTCTCATCTTCCATCCCTCCTCCCACCCCTGCCCCCATAACTCTGCCTTTCAAATAAATCTTTAAAAAAATAGAATAAAAAATAAAAATGTCAATAGAAGATTGACAACCCCTCAACAGCACCAAAGTGAGGTTGGAGAACTAGAAACAACCTCTTATTTAGGATTTTCTGTACAGTGTTATATTGGTTGGCTTTGCCTTTCTATCACAAACACTTGAGAGAAACTCCTTGTGGAGGAAGGAGGCTTGCTTTGGCTCCTGGTTTTGGAGGTGCACAGTCAACATCTGATGAGACTGGAGCAGGACAGTGGTGGAGCATATGTGGGGGAACAATCACATGGCACCCAGGAAGCAGAGAGAGATGGGGAGCATGTGCTGCCAGTATGAGTCAGTCATTGAGCCCCACCCCAACAACCTCACCCAATCTAATCATTTCCCAAGACCTTTCCTTCAGCTACCATAATTGGATTAGCTTTCCTCCCTTAATCCATTGAATATTATTCTAGCAACCATTAGAATAAGACTTAGAGGACTAAGTTTTAAATTATATGCCTCCAGGGGACACCCAAACTAACATGTAAATCATAACACATGCTAAGAATTTTATTGCTGTTGTTAGAAAAATGGGAAATTACTGTAGGATGTAGAGTAAGTTTGTAGTAGTTTGTTTCGTTTTTATTTATTTTACTTAAGAGGGAGAGAAAGAGAGCTCCCATGCACTGTCACTCCCAAATGCCTAGACCAGGTCAAAACTGGGACTAGACCAGGTCAAAACTGGGAGCCTGACAAGGAAAGCAGGGAGAAGAGCTGGTCTAGAAGTAAGTTGGGTTAGGAGCAAGACAAGGAAAGAGGGTAAATTCAGTTTGGAGACACGACACACAAGGTGCATTTGTGATGAAATCTGTGCTAGACAATTCTGTGTGTGTGTGTGTGTGTGTGTGTTCATAGGCCTGAAAGTTAGAAGACAATTGGCCGGTGCTGTGGCTCACTAGGCTAATCCTCCGCTTTGCGGCGCCTGCACACCGGGTTCTAGTCCTGGTTGCCCCTCTTCAAGGCCAGCTCTCTGCTGTGGCCCAGGAGTGCAGTGGAGGATGGCCCAAGTCCTTGGGCTCTGCACCTGCACGGGAGACCAGAAACACCTGGCTCCTGGCTTTGGATCAGCGCAGCGCGCTGGCCGTGGCGGCCATTGGAGGGTGAACCAACGGCAAAGGAAGACCTTTCTCTCTGTCTCTCTCTCTCTCTCACACTGTCCACTCTGCCTGTAAAAAAAGAAAGAGAGAAAGAGAGAAACAAAGGAGACAAAGCCATTTGAACTACTGGAGATGAAAGTGTGAATGGTGAACATGTGCTTGTTGGTGGTTGAAACCTGAGCAATGGATGAGTAGACCAGGATGAAGCTGGGTCCGAGGGCCCCTAAGGGATCAGTGAAGGAAAGACACCCATAAAGCAATTCAGGAAGAGTTACTAGAGATAGGAGAAGAGAATCAAGAAAGAATGGAAGGAGGGCAGAATTTAAACAAGAGAGTACTCAGGGAATCCAGACTTTTCAGAACCAGAATTAGTTTATGTTCTTTCTGAATATTTGATCTGTGTTCTTTTCTTTCTGTTGGCTGCTGGGAAGCTCAGAGACTTGTGACATACCTCTAGCCACTGCACAGAACTTTATAATGATTGTGTCCACTAGCCTCATCCTTAGTTTTATGTTTCCTATCATTATTTCCCCCCTTCACCCTGTTTAGTTACTTTTATTGCATTTCTTTTTATCACCTTGAATATTGAAATAGGGGGAATACAAATGCATTGCATCTAGAATTAGAATTCCAACCTGCAGGCATACCCCGGTGTCCACCACTCCCAACTGTGTTGGGAAAAACCTACTTTTCTCAATTACCTTATCTGCCTTGACCCTGTGGGAGCATTTGAGCCGAGAGTCCTGGCCCAAGTAACCAACAGCAAATTTTTTGGTCTAAATTTGAGAAATCTAAATTCGCCTTCATGAATTAATAAATACAACATCAATTGATCAGATTAGCAGTTGTTTCTCTTAAATCCCACCCCCCAATACCTATGATGTGCACAGCCCTTGAGATGTGATGAGTTGGGCTTAAATAACAGCATGACAGCATTTACTTGGGATCTGTGTAATGCATCACTATGAGGCCCTGAACTAACATGTGTTCAATAGGACTTAACACAAAATGACTGAATGGCACATCATTAGACCATAAGGTTCAAAGCTAATTCCATGAGTCTTTGCATTAATGGAGCAATATTCTGTTTGGCTTTTTCTATTAATATTTGTAGAATACCCATTACCATAGCAACTAAGTGCTTTCCACAGAGAACTGATCAAATTATTGAGGGCAGGTGAATCGGAGGGGAGAGGACACTGCAGGAGTTAACAGGATGCTTCTGATTTCCCTCTAACCCTTTCCTTCCCCTACCTGACACACAGGGGTCTCATCAAACATTTGTTTCATGTTTCTCATCCCCAAATCCTATCTATGTCCAATCTTGTTTCCCTAGAACACTATTGCACACCTTACTGACTTCATTCTTAGGGGAAAATGTTGAAATAGAAGTAGATTGACATTCTGTGCTACTTTTTCCTTGTACGGAGAGGCATTGCAGTGGAGTAGCTCTGAGCCAGGCTTTGAAATCAGAGTGCCTTAAACTCCAGCTCTTCCACTCACCAGTTAGGTGGCCTGCAGCAGGTTACTTACACTTTCTGTGCCTTGGTTTTTCTCTGGTATAAACTGGAGTCACCATGAGTCTCATAGGATTATCAAATAAGTGAGTTAAAGTACTAGGGGGCTGGCGCTGTGGCATAGCAGGTAAAGCCACTGCCTGTAGTGCTGGCATCCCAAATGGGTGCCGGTTCAAGTCCTGGCTGCTCCACTTCCAATCCAGATCTCTGCTATGGCCTGGGAAAGCAGTACAAGATAAGTCTTTGGACTCCTGCACCCACGTGGGAGACCAGGAAGAAGCTCCTGGCTCCTGACTTTGGATTGGCCCAGCTCTGGCCATTGTGGCCATTTGGGGAGTGAACCAGCAGACGAAGACTCTCTCTCTTTGCCTCTCCTTCTCTCTCTGTGTAACTCTGACTTTCAAATAATAAATAAATCTTTAGGGGCCGGCGTTGTGACGCAGCAGGTTAACGCCCTCGCCTAAAGTGCTGGCATCCCATATGGGCGCCGGTTCAAGACCCGGATGCTCCACTTCTGATCCAGCTCTCTACTATGGCTTGAGAAAGCAGAAGATGACCCAAATCCTTGGGCCCCTGCATCCATGTGGGAGACCTGGAAGAAGATCCTGGCTCCTGGCTTCGGATCGGCACAGCTCTGGCCATTGCAGCCATCTGGGGAGTGAACCAGCACATGGAAGACCTCTCTCTCTCTCTCTCTCTGCCTCTCTTCTGTGTAACTCTGACTTTCAAATAAATAAATAAATCTTTAAAAATAAACAAATCTTTAAAAAAGTATTGGAACCTACTAAATGCTTAATAAATGTCAGGTTAACACCTGACAATATGGCCTTATAGCCTCCATCACCAGAACCCTCGTGCAGCAGCCCTGGTTTTCAGTGAATGGAAAAACCTGTTCCTTTAAAAGAAGATCCTTCCTGGATACCACACAGGGGAGAAAGGAAGGAAGGCGAACCCTGTCTGGCTAGACACATTGGCCAGATCAACAGTGCTTCAACTGCCACCATTGGAAATTCATTTGATGGGGGCCAGGTAGGGGAAGGGGGAAGGCAATTCCTATACAAGTATTTTCTCCTAGATTCAATTTTCTTGAAGGCAAGGAGCATGCCTCAGTCATCTGTCCCCAAATATAGAGCCAAATTCACCCTCATTTCCCGTACACAGTAAGGTGTCTATGAATAACTTGTCAGCCCTCTCTGCGACTGTGCATACAAGCAGACACAAGGAGTTACGGCAAGCCTGTTAGTACAGGCTCTGTGACAGGTGGGAAAGATGAACACAAAATTATTGAAGCTTGCTCCTTGCCTTCCTGGGGTTAAATCTAGTGTGAGAAGACACCTGTAAAGGAAATGCTTACCCAAAGGCATGAGTTCCCAGTGGTGGGGTTTAGTCACTGATTTAAAAGGAACGTGCGTGGTGCGATCTGAGGGAGTTCCTCCAACCATGCTGAAGAGATGACCACCAACCACACCGAGTGAGCCTGGCCCGGGGTGGAGTAGACGGAACTCCAGGGTTGGTGTGGCAGCTGCTGATCGGTGCTCCTGACTCACCTTTGCACAATCACAAAGACTGCCTCAGACTAAGTCGGAAGCATCAACACCCATACCCAAGAGTTAAGATTTCAGATAAGCTCCCTTGAAACTTGGAAGAGGTCGTTTTAGGATAAATAAAGGCACACATACTTTTCTACTGTGGGTAGTTAGCTCATTACCTCATCTGAAACTTGTTACTACAAGAGCCTATATAAGCCAAAAATAAAAGCAGGTTCAAGAAGTTTGAGATAAACGTTTGAATGAAGAGTCACAAACAAGTCCTAGAGATCAAATGAAAGGGGTTTTTGGTTCAATAGGAATCTATGAAAGACCTGCTGCAACGTACAAACCACGACTTTCAGCAACACACGCCTAACTTCCTGGAGGTTTCATTCCCTTCTAACAAGTGTTCTTTGTACCAATCCTGAAGCAGAGCCTACATTAGAAGGAGAGTTTGATTACCACAGGGAACTCTGGATCCTTTTGCTCTTTATTAGCACAATTTCCTCTCCACATCTTAATAAAGATCCCGCTTTCCCCTCATGGAGCCCTTGGAGAATCAGCCACCAAAGGGCAATTGTTCACCTCCAGCATAATAATTCAAAAATGCAACTTGAGCTCTCCAGACTAAAGAAAGGAGAAGCCACATCTGCTCAAGTTCTCAACAGTTCACCAGAGTTAAAATTCTCCAATTAAATTCTGAAATCTCTAATTACTCACCCATTCAGCAGCTTGGAACCCATGGGTGGAATGGCTCTGGCTACAAGCAGAGTAGGTGGTCTCCTGGGAAGAATGGTGAGAGGAGCTGCTGAAGTTTCGTTCTCCTTAGTGCCTTTTGCCTCAGTTCACTGATAAAGGTCCCAAATACTGTGGGACCAGTTTAGGCCTGGGACTCTCCAACAGCTATGCTCAGACTCACATGGAGGGCTGATTAAATTAGATAGCTGCTCCCACTTGCTGGCAGTTCTGTGTTTTTAACAAGTTTCCGGCGATAGCAAAGTTGCAGGACCACAGAGGTCACACTTTGAGAACTATTGCTCTGGAACCAGGCCTAGGCGCTCATTCAAAAGTGAATCTGGGGCAAGGGCTGTGGCATATCCTGTAAAGCCGCCGCCGGCAGGGCCAGCATCTCATACGGGCGCCACTTCGAATCCCAGCTGCTCCGCTTCCAATCCAGCTCACTGCTACGGCCTGGGAAAGCAGTGGAAGAAGAACCAAGCGCTTAGGCCCCTGGACCCATGTGGCAGTCCTGGAAGAAGCTCCTGGGTCCTGTCTTTGGGTCCGCCCAACTCCAGCTCCAGCCATTTGGGGAGTGAACCAGCGGATGGAACACCTTCCTGTCTGTGTCTGCCTCTCTGTAACTCTGCCTTTCAAATAAATAAATAAATCTTTAAAAAAAAAAAAAAAAGGTGAATCTCTGGGGTCGGCCTGTGGCGTAGTGGGCTAAGCTTCTGCCTAAGGTGCCAGCATCCCATGTGGGTGGCAGTCTGAGTCTGGGCAGCTCCTCTTCAGATCCAGCTCGCCGCTTACGGCCTGGGAAAGCAGCGGAAGATGGCCCAGGTGCTCTGGTCCCGCGTGAGCATGAGAGACCCGGAAGAAGCTCCTGGCTCAGAAGAAGCTCTTGGCTCCTGGCTTCGGATGAGCTAAATTCCGGCCTTTGCGGCCATTTGAGGAGTGAACTGTCTCCATCTGTAACTCTACTTCTCAAATAAATAAATCAAAAAAAAAAAAAAATCTCTACCTGGAAAGGATTTCACTCAGGCTATCCTCAGATACCAGAGGGTGGAGAAGTCTCCAGCGGTGGGATTACATTCTAGGGAGGGAGGCACCCACAGTGAATCTGAAGGTTGGAAAGGAAAGCTTGTGTTTTGCTTTGTCATTTTGCCTGGGAGAGGGCTTTGGGCCGCCCCCTGCATGCATCCCCACCCGTGGCAGCCCCGCCCCCTGGCTCCCTTACTCCTTAAGTGTCTTTCTCCAGGAGTCCTTCCTCCACGCCCACGACTCCCATCCACCTCCCAGACTGGAGCTGCGCTGTCAGTCTGCCCATCTCACTGTCAGGCAACAGCTGTTCCCCCTCTTCCAACTTGTCTGTCAAGGAGTGACCAACTCGGGCTGTGAATTACAAATCCCGCCAGTACTGGCTGCCCAAGTGGCAGCTGGTAAAGGGGGCAGGGAGAGCTTCCCCACTTCACACGCGCCCGGGCCATGCACACCAGCGGGATGCAGCGAGCGGCCACTGTTTGTTCCTCCCACACAGGGATATTTCACTCCAAATGCCCGACTCAGCCTCAGAGCAAGAGGAAAAGGCCGAGTCCCCGGCAAAACCCGGCAAAGAGGAGGGACCTGACGAGGGAGGCATAATGTACTACTCAGAATAAGCACCAGTCACCAGTGTTTGCTTCTGGAACTCTGGCATGTTTAGTTTCTTTAATCAGTGCCTATCAGTGGAGAGAAACTCCACACGAGGAGAGGATGAAAATAAAGGACTAAATCCAGAGCAGGTGTGGGGTATCTAGGCGCTCTGATTTTGTCCACAGGAATAGAACTGAAATGAGGAATTCTCTTTGAACCTACTCACCCTTTTTTCACAAGGTCAATTGAGAAGTTAAAAAAAAAAGAACTTCATGCACACTCATATCATATTCAGATTCTGTCTCACTTTCCACAGAAGGACTTATCTGTTTTTTCTGGAAGTCTTACCTGCCCACATGATAATCGTGTCAGGCTGGTCGAGCTGGAAGAAGGCTGGATGCCATTGTATCGCTCCTCCCCCTCCCCAGTCTCTTCCAGCCACCACCCATAGACGCACTCATTTCCTCCTCTGATAATAAGCAGGCACCCCCACTCTCTACCCAGAAAATCTGCCAGGCTGCTTATGCCACACACACATCTCCCACCTTACCCCCCATGGAAGCAGTCATCTTTTTAAAAAAAAAACCTGAAAACCAATCATGTTTAACCAATTATTTTAAATTATATACAGTAATTACATTTTAGGAACCATGATTCTATAATGTATTTGCAGCATTTTTAATATATTTTAAGTAAGTATATTTTGAAGATTGAAATCATTACGCATTCAAAATTAGCCCCTTTAAAGATCTATATTTGAGGGGCTGGCGCTATGGTGCAGTGGGTTAAAGCTCCTACACCCACGTGGGAGACCCAGAAGAAGCTCCTGGCTCCTGGCTTCGGATCAGTGCAGCTCTGGCCATTGCGGCCAGTTGGGGAGTGAACCAGCAGATGGAAGACCTCTCTCTCTCTCTCTCTCTCTACCTCCCCTTTCTCTGTGTAACTCTGACTTTCAAATGAATAAATAAATATTTTTTTAAAAAGTTAATACATGTGCATTTCATGAAACATTTCTTTTTTGTTATTTTTCCCAAAGAAACCTTTTATTTAATGAGTACAAATTTTCACAAGTACAACTTTAAGAATATAGTGATTCTTCCCACCATACCCGCCCTCCCACCCCACCTCCTCCTCTCTCTCCCATTCCCTATCCCATTCTCCATTAAGATCTACTTTCAATTAACTTTATACATAGAACACCAACTGTATACTAATAGTTCAACAATTTTCACACACACACATACACACACAAAGAGAACTAGTTTTACAGTTAATTCTCATAATACAACTCATTGAGGACAGAGGTCCTGCATAGGAAGTAGGTGCACAGTGACTGCTGTTGTTAATTTAGCAATTAACACTCATATATGACATAATTGATCACCCGAGGCTCTTGACATGAGCTGCCATGGCTATGGAAGACTCTTGAATCCACAAACTCCGTCAGTATTTGGACAAGGCCATCAGCAAAGTGGAAGTCTCTCTTCCCTTCAGAGAAAAGCACATCATTCTTTGATGGCCACTTCTTTCCAATGGGGTTTCATTCACAGAGATCCTTCAAGTAGGACATGATTTTGCCACAGTGTCTTGGCTTTCCATGCCTGAAATGTTCTCATGGGCTTTCCAGCCAGACCAGAAAACTTTAAGAGCTGATTCTGAGGTCAGAGTGCTGTTAAGAGCGATTGTCATTCTGAGTCTGCTATGTGGACTGGGAAGCAGTCATCTTTGAATCATATAACTGAAACCTTCACTCCCTGAGATTTCTTCTTCTAAATAAGTAATATAATAAAAAAGTAATGCTGCATCAAGTTAAATACAACACTTTCTTTGTGGCAGTCAAAAGTGCAAATATCAGATGTAATACTTTGGTAAAAAGCAATTGCTGATAAACCATCAGATAGCTCATCTTCCAGAGAGCTCTTTTTCAGGCAGTTAAGTTGACATGAAGGAACATTTTACCACCTTGATTTTTAAAAACAGTTCAAAGGTGGCATGTAAGCAAGTTGTGACTCTAAAAGTGCTTTATCTGAGAACAGTGTCTCTGGGGATCACTTTTTCAAGAACTGCTCTAATGCTTTTTGTACAATTAAGTTTATTTCCCAGGTTTATAAGATTCAATTGCATTCCCGCAAAAGAAAAAGAATTCACCATCCTCCCCTTCTTAAGACAAAGCCCCAGCAGCAAGTCATTATCACTTTTGACTAATCAGAGAGAAACCACCTGCAGGAGTAGTCTCCTTTCTATGGGCTCCCAGCAGAAGCTTCCAAATGATGATTAATCACTGAATAAACGGCAGAATTGACAACAGCATAATGACAAAGAGAAAGCAGAGAAGGGGCCCGAGCCGTGGGTGCATGTGGTCCAGCCCCAGTGGGCGGAAGGGCCAAAGAAGATGGATGGCCCTGTAAGCGCCTGACACTTGAGTATCTTGTCTTTTACAAGGGGGATCACTTCTGCCAAAGTCAACAAATAAGGCAGCACACATCAAATGGACGTGCTTCCTATGGCTGTCAGAAGCAAAGCAAAACGTCTTAAAAATTAAACTAATGAGTTTAAACTGGCATCTTGAGCTCAGACGATAACAGAAATAAGAGATACTACAAATGACAGCTAATCCATTACTGCAGAAGGGATTCGGAAGGTTTTACTGATTATAGCTTCGCATTACTCTAATCGTGTCCCTACTAATTTGAAAAGTAATGAATCACTAAGTTCAAACAGGGCTCAGAAGAGTCAATTATAAATTAAGCAGTGATATCAAAAGCTCATATTTTCGACACTGAGGAATAAAACATGTTACGCCTAATAACAAACAGAAATGAGGCCTAATACACACTCTCAGTTGACCAAATCATTAGCAGTAGGAATGTTTCTCTAATTTCTCAATATTTCTCTTCAGGATGTATCCCTCCTGCCCAAAGGAATCCTACTAGCAAATTTTATTAATATGAAAAAGGTTGGTAGTAAATGAAATATTGGTTTGCAGTCAGCTGAATGCCCTTCAGATACCATCAGTTCTCATGCCTTCCCTGCTCAAATGACAGAGTGGTTTTGGTCATTTCATTCTCTCTCAAGCATCAATACCATCATCTTCTTTATTATCATCATATTCATTATCACCCTCTCACTGTTATCATTTTTCACACTGTAAAACATAGAAAAATTTAAGTTCAAAAGAGTTTCATGCCCATTTTCCCATTCATAGGTCCTACCTTAAAAAAATGCCAACAGCCAGTGCCCCTTCTGTCAACATTCTTGACATCTGTCCATTCTGCCTTGTCATGTGGATCACTGCTCATACCAATAGAAAATATTTCATTGTATGACCATGGCATCACCACATACACTTTCTGCATTGCCTTGTTTTCAACAATAACATGTGTTCAACAATTACCCATTCGATGGCTTTATTTTCTTTAATTTTCTAGACTCAACCTACATGAGGTCCTATACCTGAAATCTTTGAAATGCCTTTCAAGGAGATTTCTTAGGTGGCATGTGCCGGTAGCATGAAGATCTGTGGGAAGCAATCAGCTTGAAGCACTCAAAGAATATGAGAACAGGCCGGCGCCGCAGCTCACTAGGCTAATCCTCCACCTTGCGGCGCCAGCACACCGGGTTCTAGTCCCAGTCGAGGCACCGGATTCTGTCCCGGTTGCCCCTCTTCCAGGCCAGCTCTCTGCTGTGGCCAGGGAGTGCAGTGGAGGATGGCCCAAGTGCTTGGGCCCTGCACCCCATGGGAGACCAGGAGAAGCACCTGGCTCCTGCCTTCAGATCAACGCAGTGCACCGGCCGCGGCGGCCATTGGAGGGTGAACCAACGGCAAAAGGAAGCCCTTTCTTTCTGTCTCTCTCTCTCACTGTCCACTCTGCCTGTCAAAAATGAAATAAAATAAAAATTTTAAAAAAAGAATATGAGAACAGATGAATATAGATGAACCTGGAAATAGGGAATAAAGCCTTTTCTCATGGTACAGCCACATTGAGAATTAATTTTTCCCATCAGACATCTTCCATCCTTCAATAGCTAGAAAGTTTGGACTCAAGTTCAAACAAGCTTCATATTCACACATACCTTGGTTTCAAGGCGAGCCCTGTTGCCAGTGAGCCACCCCCACCCTATCACAGACAGTCCTGCTTTGCCCATTCCCTTCCTCAGGCTCTGCTCTCCCTGTGTCCCTTCCTACCTTCCCATCCTTCTTACATCCTTCCCCATTCTTTGGAGCCACCTGTCTTCAAAGATCCCACACTCTTGGATCAGATACTTTGGGAGATCAGGACCAACCTTGGCCAATGTCAGCATGGACTGTGTGTAGTCACCTAAGTTCTCTATTTAATCACTACTTAACTTCACCCAAGTTGCTTAAACTGTCACAGGCCATTTCTACATCTATGCAAGAGGGGAAAGAATATGTAGCTTAAGGCAGTATTGAAAAAATTAAATGAAATATTGTGTGAGAAATGCCTGACCCAGATACTGTATAATTATTAATGTCACTGTTCTTGTTATGAATATCTTGGGTGGCAAATGCATAGTGTCTGGAGCTGTTCTCTTTTAGAGGAATTTCTTGTATACCCATTAGCACCATGTAGAATATATAGAGGACAGTGTTTATGCAAATAGAATAGAGGGTTCTGCTATTTTCCCAGTCTCCCCACCTGTCCCCAGATTTCATTTTCTCCTTTTAGTCCTTCAGTGTTCCAAAGGCTGGCTTTGGACAATCGATCCACCAGCCAGAAGCTGTTCCTCCATGTTCCACCTGTGCCAGCTACTGCCTCACCAATGTGCACACGCCAGTCTGTATACCTTGATACGGAGAGTAAGGAGTGAGAACCCCATGCCTACACTGGAAGGGTTTCCAGTTCAGTGGGGCAAACGGACAGCAAGCTACTACCACCCCCTACCCTAAGGCAAGAGACCAGTGAGTTGCTCCCTTCTTCCTGTAAGCCATTTAATTGCTGTAAAAATTCATGGCATATTTTGACATTAAATTATCATCCTAAGGAATTAAGTGGGTTTTTTTTTTTTCATTTTCATTTCTTTATGTTTTGAGAAGCAGAGACACACAGGGAGAGAGCGCTCATCCACTTGTTTACTCCCCAAACTCCCACAATAGCCCCTAGCTGGGACTGACGCTGAGAGCCAGGAATGCAAGCCAGGTCTCACGGGTGTGTGTCAGGAACCCAACTGCTTGAGCTACCACCATTGCCTCTCAGGGTCTGCATTCTTAGGAAGGTGGAGTCAGAAGCAGGCACTCTTAGACTGGTCCTGGGCTTCTTAACTGATGTCTCTGCTAGGCCAAACACCTGCCCCAGGAATTGTTTAGCAAATTACCTCTAACAGCACTACGGCAGCCCATTCTGTTTTCCTTTGTTTAAAAGTTTCCAGCACACAGGCAGACATACTATTACCCTGTTGAATCACAGCAGCTGTACAATTTTGTGTTCTACTTTTCCCTCTCTCTCCGCTTATTATAGCATGTATGTGTTCCCGTGTTGGCACGCTTTACCTTCACAAAGGCTGCCAATAGCGTTTGTGTAAGAAATAGAAAGGAAATGTTAGGAGATTGAGCCACCCTCCTGTGATCCCTCCAGCCTCTTTGGAGGCTTTTGTTGGGCTCCTCCTCCTTCACTCTCTCAGCCTACCCATAACCTTGGATAGGTGAGAGGTATGAAACTTCAAATACACATGTGTGGATTCAAAGCTCCTCGAGTACACGCAAGCTTTAGGATAGATCAGATTCACCTGGGGAGTGTTGAAAAATAGCTTTCCTGGGGCCCACTCTCCTGTCTAATTCCATGCTTCTTGGAATCTACATTTTTACCACATCACCTATGATTCTGGTGTAGGTAACTTGAGGAATTATTGGTTAAAAGCATAGGCTCTGACTCCCAGCACATTGGACTCGAATCTTGGTTCTACCAATCACCAGCTTTTGACTTTGGATGAGTTATTTATCCTCTCCATGCCTCAGTGTCTGTTCTATAAAATGGGATGATAGGATCCCCTCCAATAGTTGTTGTGAGTGTCAAATGAGAGAACACTAAGAGTGTCAAATAAATTTTGCTTGAAAGTTTCATTATTTCTCTTTTTGTTGCGCTATTGCTTTATGCAAGGGCAGTGTTTTGGGCATGATGAGGGTCGTGTTTCTGATTCACATAATTTTGATCCAGATGAGAGTAAATATTGTATCATTCGTTTTTAATTTCCCAGTACAATGGGGCTGACACACAGGGGATGTTCAGGGAATGTTCACTTGTTCACTCAACATGGGTTGCACAGGAGCAGACACACAGGAGGGTGGAAACAGGCCTCAAGGATTTGGATCTTTCCAGTTCAAAGGACCGCTATGGTTGACTTATGTTATCTTTTAGCTCTTAGTAATTTTATCCTTCTTTTCTTTTCAGTCTCTCATTTCCCCTCTCCACCTGGAAGACAAGTTAAATGTTAGACATCACTCAGTGAGCTGCAGAAATTCAACGTTCAAACTCTTACCTAAGGGTGGAGTTTTAGGTCCTCTTCCTCCCATGCCCCACATGCTGCCCCAGGGGAAACCCAGGAAGCTCCCCTGCAGGACAGATGTGCATTCGTCTTCAAAACTTAGCACAGGTCCCCTGCCCCCAGCTCCTCTTTGAGGGGCAATGGGAAGTTTCAAAATCCAAAGGGGCACAGACATCGCCCTTGAAGGTAATACACACTTGTGGCCAAACAGAAACTAACTTGCTGGGCTGGCGCCATGGTGCAGTGGGTTAAAGTCCTGGCCTGAAGTGCCGGTGTCCCATATGGGCACAGGTTCTAGTCGCAGCTGCTCCTCTTCCAATCCAGCTCACTTCTATGGCCTGGAAAAGCAGCAGAAGATGGCCCAAGTCATTGGACCCCTGCACTCGCGTGGGAGAACCCAGAAGAAGCTCCTGGCTCCCGCCTTTGGTTCAGCTCAGCTCTTGCCGTTGACCTCTCTCTCTGTCTCTACCTCTCTCTGTCATTCTTTCAATAAATCTTTTAAAAAACTTAACTTACTAAGGAGAAATGCCATAGAAATTACTAAATCATTAGAAAAATAATCATTAAGTACGGGAAAACTAAATATGAAATGTAGGAAACTAAAAGAATAACATGAGGTAGTTTAAATTGGATGGATTTGGAGAGAGGAACTAAATTCTGCACAGATTTTTATATCTAGAACTTCCTAGTTTGGTTTTTCACTTGTTTTGGAATGAGGGTTTTTTGTTTTGTGTTTTGTTGTTGTTTTTTACATACAGCTATATTTTACAACAACCTTGTTACAGCTCACTAGTGATTATCAAAAAAGAATAAAGTACCTTCACTAATTAAGTTATTATACAAAAAGCAAAGTTAATCAGAAAAAGACACTTATGTCTAAAGACTTCAGGGAGGGGAAACTTGGTCCCACACCCCTCTAGGTCTTCTTTTGGGTTTCCTACCCCGGAACATACAAAGCATGATCATTTTATAAACAAACTGAATTGAACAAAATGTGCTTGTTGTTCCTACACCAAGTGAATTTGATACCTTTTTTGTTTTTGTTTAAAGATTTATTTATTTATTTGATAGAGTTACACAGAAAGAGAAGGAGAGGCAGAGAGAGAAGTCTTCTATCAGCTGGTTCACTCTCCAATTGGCTGCAACAGCTCGAGCTGCACCAATCCGAAGCCAGGAGCCAGTAGCTTCTTCTGGATCTCCCATGCGGGTGCAGGGGTCCATGGACTTGGGCCATCCTCCACTGCTTTCTCAGGCCATAGCAGAGAGCGGGATCAGAAGTGGAGCAGCCTCAGCCGGCGTTGCAGCTCACTAGGCTAATCCTCCGCCTGCGGCGCCGGCACTCTGGATTCTAGTCCTGGTCAGGCAGCTGGTTCTGTCCTTGTTGCTCCAGCTCTCTGCTGTGGTCCGGGAAGGCAGTGGAGATGGCCCAAGTGCTTGAGCCCTGCACCCACATGGGAGACCAGGAGGAAGCTCCTGGCTTCAGACCGTAACAGCCACTTGGGGGTGAACCAATGGAACGAAGACCTGTCTCTCTGTCTCTCTCTCTCACTGTCTAACTCTATCTGTTAAAAAAAAAAAAAAAAAAAAAAAGAAGAAGAAGAAGTAGAGCAGCCTGGACTCAAACCAGTACCCATATGGGATGCTTGTACTGCAGGCGGCGGCTTTACCCACTATGCCACAGCGCCAGCCCCTAGATACTTTTAACAAGTGTATCATCAATGACTACTTTCTATAATCCTTTCATTCTCTTTCTGCATGTCTTAGAAAAGATTTCCTTTCTCACTGTGATTTAATGTTTTAATGAATTTCATAATCTTGGGAGGAGACAGTTCAGCCCATGAAGTCCTGCACTACTGGTTAGATGTTTGGTCCTGCACACAGTATGAACTCACTAAAATTTGCTATATTATATGCAAGCATTCCATGAAAGAGAGAAAAATGTTCCCCTTGAGTCCCCACCATGGTGCCCAAAACTCCCTTGACACAGCGAAGTCCTAACTCCAGGCTGCCGGTGTGCAGGCTGGGAGCAAACTGGGCTTTCACCCGGAGGGCCCACGCCTCCAGAATGTTCTTCCTCTCCTGATCAGACACAGCCTGCGATCTGTGATGCTGTCTGCTCAGTCAGGCATTTTCCCAAGGCCTGTGGGAGGACTGCGATCAGAGGTTAAAGTGGTGGCAAGTCTTTATTTATTCTGACTACAGGACAGTTGACCCAAGCCATCCGTTTAGAGGGACAGGAGATGCTCTTATAAGAGCAGACAACATCATTAACATTTTATTTCCCTTCCTGACTACCTGTCTATGGTGGCTGTGCTCATTTTGACCTAGTCAGGGCACAGAAATGGTTTCCTGGCCAAGGGAATGAAATGCAAGGTGGCTCACCTCCCAGGTCAGGCTGGGACGCACCGAGACAGCATGGTTCAGTGACTCAAGCAATGGGCTGGAAATTCCAGACTAATTATGCCCTTTCCAGTGTCAACCTTACTGTGTGGTGCCAGGTAAAGCACCCAGCTTCTCTGGACTCGCTTGCTATATGATGGATGTGCTACGAGGTAACTGGCAACTAATAGCCTTCTTGAACTTTGGCTTCTGCATCTATAAACTGGAAATGACTTAAACAAGTGTCTTCATTGCCTCACAGGGTCATTGTAAGGCTAAAATGCATATAAAAACTACAGTAATCTGTAGAGTGCTGAACCAATTGCTTCTCCCTAATGCCATCATTAGTAACAGGGTAAAGCAGGGACTCAAATCCAGGTTTGCTGACTCCTATTCTAGGACGCAAGAGAAGGCAGAAGGGCTGAATCTCCCTTTCTTCCCATGAACAGCCAACAAATCTTGGACACAAAAGGCCGTGGTTTCATGACGCAATCATTCCTGCAAGGGAATGTCCTAGTATTAGCTAAATCCAGAAAAACCCCTAGGCTGGCACTTCGGATGAGGTATCTTATCAGTTCCTAGATGGAATCCAAGAAAAATCTGATGCAACATTTTTACTTAAAGCAAATATTGAAGTGAGCCACACTTCTCTTTTAAGCTTTCAAATGTACAGAAAGTTTCCGAGTAAGGATTAGACACAGAATGGCACGCCTGAGTCCCTCCACGCGGAGTCACATTATATCCCTAGTTAATTCTTCAGTAATTGGGGAGCCATGGTCTTTGCAAATGTCACAGTTTTACCACAGTGTATTTACTTCTGGGTGGATTAGCATGAATGTGTCAATTGTATTGGATGGCCAATTTTGTGGGAGTGATTTGAAAGCCTCAAGAATAAACTGTTATTTAACTTGGGGAAATGGGAAGAAAAAAATGGCAGCATTTTATGTTTTGCTCCCTTTGGTTCATATTTGCATGAAATCCTCATAACCAAAGGCAGCTGGAATCCTGGGTATAATGGTAACATTGGTGGTGAGAGGTTTGGACCTGGCTGGAAGAGGGGGCTTGTGTAGGAAGGCAATTTTTCCATGTAGATATAAAGCTGAAGAAATATTTATTAGTAGAAATTGCATATGAAGATTAGAAAAAAAAATAGTCATGTATTTTTAGGAACCTGCTCATGTTGTAAGCTGACAGCATTAGCTAACTTGATTTCCATGTGAAGACAGTCCCTATCCTATACACTTGGATGCGTTCATCATTCTGTAGAACATTTGCATGTCATTCATTATCCAGAAGAACCTCTGGTTTGGAGTAATAATACAATTATTAATTATTAATTAATACAAATAAGTTAACTCCACAGTGGCAGAATAAGCCCGCTTTCTGGAATCACCAGAATCAGGGGTGGGACAACTAATAAGGCCATTGTAAAGAGAACGCGGAGTTTTCTCGCCCGGGCACTACTAATGACACAAACAGCCTGTGCACTTTCGTCACGAGAGTAAGAAACCCAGGAAGTTGCTCTTTGCTCCTCCTGGGCTCCCACATCTCTTTTCCGTCTTGCTCCTCTGCCCTTTTTTGCCTCCTAAATAAATCGCTAATGATCTCTATGATGGTTACATGGGTATTTTACATGAAAGATTCCAACGTGCCCCGCAGAGGAGAGATACACAAACAGCAGAATGGCGATGGCCCTTACCTTTCCATACTCGAGGTGAATTTTGAACACAGTCTGTTGGTGATGTCTGGATTCCAATTATCCAAAAGAACAGGACATCACTACCAGCCAAACCACGGGGCTCACATGGTCTTGAGTATGCAGAATCTAAATAGCAAGAATGCCCAATTATTGCTGGTTTTGTCACTTCCTTTTTCTGAAGAAGAAAATGGAAAAACACAATGAACTTTGCTGGGGTGAACGTTCCAGTGCAGCAGGTTAAGCTGCCATTTGGGATGCCACATCCTACATCAGAGTGCCAGTTCGAGTCCTAGCTCGTCTGATTCCAATCCAGTTTCCATGGATGATGGCCCAAGTCCTTGGATCCCTCACACCCATGTGAGAAATCAGGATGGAGTTTCTGCCTCTTGGCTTAAGCCTAGCCTAGCCCTGGCTGTGGGAGGTTCATTCGGCGCATGAACCAGAGGATGAAAATTTGTGCATGTGTATGTGTGTCTGTTTGTCTGTCTCTCCTTCTCTCCATCCCTTTGCCTTTCAAATAAATAAATACATCTTTTCAAAAAAGAACTTTTCGGCTAAGAAACCAGAAATTTGGTCCACAGTCCAAAGATTACTTCTATCAAGCTGTGAGAGCTTGAGCCAGTCACGCATCTCTTTGTTGTTGAGTTTTCCAGCCCAGAATGAATAGAAAAAATAATTTCCACCCTGCTTGTTTAAATGAAAGTTTATAGTAGACCTACGAACTTCTTCAACTTTTAACCTCTATGTTTCTATTTTCACAATGTTCATTTTTATTAAACTTTTTTAAAGATTTTATTTTTATTTATTTGAAAGTCAGAGTTACACAGAGAGGTAGAGACAGAGAGAGGTCTTCCATCTGCTGGTTCACTCCCCAGAAGACCGCAATGGCCAGAGCTATGCCAATCCGAAGCCAGGAGCCAGGAGCTTCTTCCGGGTCTCCTATGCAGGTGCAGGAGCCCAAGGACCTGGGCCATCCTCCACTGCTATCCCAGGCTATAGCAGAGAGCTGGACTGGAAGAGGAGCAGAAGGGACCAGAACCAGCATCCATACGGGATGCCGGCGCTGCAGGCCAGGGTGTTAACCCGCTGCACCACGGCGCTGGCCCCTTAACATTTTTCTTATGCAATATATATTCAAAATGTAGATATGACAAATAAACAATAAAAGATCAAAATTAAAATCACCTCTATTCTCACTACTCTGAGATAACTGGGTTTGCAAATAATCTAAATATATAATGAATATATATTAATTTTATTTATTTTTTATTTTATTTATTACTTAATTTTATTTATTTAATATATATTTGCAAATATATCAGAAGGAGCCCATGCCACATCGAATAAACATTGAAATAAATTTTTGAAGGATTTACTTATTTGAGAGGCAGAGTGACAGAGACAGAAAAAGAGAGACAGAGAGAGAGAGAGATCCTCCATTCACTGGTTCACTCCTGCAATGCCCATAAGTGCTGGGGCTGAGCAGGCCAAAGCCAGGAGCCCGGAACTCCATCCAAGTCTCCCACGTGGCTGGCAGAGACCGAAGAACTTGGGTTGTCTTCCATTGGTTTTCCCAGATGCAGTTAGCAAGGAGCTGAATCAGAAGTGGTGCAGTCAGAACTCATCAAACTAGCACTCCAGTATGGGATGCCAGTATCACAAGTGGTAGTTTAATCCACTGCACCACAATGCCGGCCCCTGAAAATGTTTTAAAACAAGATTGAATCAAAATTTTTCCCCAGAATATAATAATAAGTTTTATTTTTATTACCAAAATACACTGGCCAGGGGCCAGCGGTGTGGAGTAGTGGGTAAAGCCACCATCTGCAGTGCTGGCATCCCATAAGGGCACTGGTTCAAGACCTGGCTGCTCCACTTCCAATCCAGCTCTCTGCTATGGCCTGGTAAAGCAGTAGAAGATAGCCCAAGTCTGTGGGCCCCTGCACCCATGTGGGAGACCCAGAGCAGGCTCCTGGCTCCTGGCTTCGGATTGGCGCAGCTCCGGCCATTGCAGCCAATTGGGGAGTGAACCAGCAGATGGAAGACTTCTCTCTCTCTCTCTCTCTCTCTCTCTCTCTCTCTGCCTCTCCTTCTCTCTCTGTGTAACTCTGACTTTCAAATAAATAAATAAATCTTTAAAACACACACACACACCAGGCCCTTTCACTCTCCCCATCTACTGCTGCAAACCTGGACACAATTTATTGTTGGGATGCTGATGTCCCTAGAAATTAGCCATTCTTTGGTGAGGCCAAAAGAGTCTTAGTGATATGTCAAACATCAGAAAGTCACTGGAAGACAGAGGCAGAGTTAGGCAAAAGGTCTCCCATCACATGTTCTAAAACAATTTACACTCTTCCATTGGTCATAGGAATTTTATTTATTTTTCTAAGTTACACAGGATTGCAACTTTTGTTTATTCTGGTTGAAACTTCAAGAAGAAAACTTGATTTAAACAACTTCCCTGTTTAACAGACTTCTTACCTTCCCACACCCCAGCCTGTCACTAGCAGGCTGCAGAAGAATTGCCTTGCAGGGCAGGAGCAAGTCTTGGGCAATACTTTGTGCATAGTCAAAAAAGCTCCCGAGCACATGCCCCTACGAATCTTAATTTCCCTTAATTCATTGAGTTTCCTTCTGTATGGCACCAAACGAAGGAACATCCCTACACAGATGCCAGCAAGCCATATCAGATAGTTAACAAATATTTGTTGACTGCTTGAGCTTGCTCCAATCAAAGGCACTGGTTTTCTTGGTGTTCTTGTTTACCGTGAGATGGGGAAATAGCACCCACCCACGCCTATCTCACGGAGAGGCCAGGAGAGTGAAAGAGACAATGGAGATCAGATCCCTGGAAGAAAAGCACCATGTGTATTCAGATCTCATTAATATTAACCATCAAGCCAGAGCACCTGGGCCCTCAGAAGCTGCTTAATGATTGAGAACTATCAAACTTATTCTCAGTCTAAAAATGGCCTCATTCCCCAGATTGCTCCATGTCACCTTTTAAATTATTTACCACAATTCTCCACCTAGTTTACTTTATTGAGGTCACTCATAGACCTTTCTAGGTCACTTCAAGGATATCAGTCTAGTTGCTTTTTCTTTTCTTTTTTTTTTTTTTTAACGACAGTTCATCCAAAGAATACAGTCAGAGCATTTTCTAAAACAAGGTGGGGACAAGCTTTCTTGTCTTGAATAAACACTTCTGGATAATTCCTATATACTGCCCACCTAACTCCTGGACTAGAATCCCTGATCCAGAAACTGGAGGTAGTTATGTCTGAGTTTCACCACTGGTTGGAAGAAGAACAGAACCTCTTTCAGATTTTAGCTCTTTGTAATCCTTTTTTTCACTGGGTTCCGTGCTGTCAATCCTGATGTTTCATTTTTATTTTGGGTTATATCTTGAGATCACCCTATTCAAGCAGAATGTTTTGCACATAGTAAACACTTAGTAAATACATGAATGAATGAATTAATCTCAAATTGTCTTTCCTCTTGTTACTCTTGAATGGATTTTTACCCTTCATCTGGATGAGTGTCTATTTCAGTGCTGCTTAAACTTCAGCATACGTCAGAATCACTTGAAAAGTTTGTTCAACACACTGCCAGGCCCCACCCTCCAACCCTCAGAGTTTTTATTTAGGAGGTCTGAGGTTTGGCCCAATAATGAGCATTTCTAACAAATTTCCTGGTGATACTGATGCTGCTGGCCCAAGAATTGCACTTTGAGAACCACTGGTTTGTATGACCAAGGATTACACAACCTTTTTTTTTTTTTGAAGGTTCAGTTTCAGCCACTTTCAAATTCTATGCTCACTCACCATTTTTCATAGTATATTCTTATCAATGATCTGTTTACCAATTTCCTTAAGCAATACCATCCACAGTAATCTGCAACACTGATATGTACCTATATCTACTAATCTTTCTATCAAAGACTAAGTCTAGTCTAGAATATTTTTCCTTCCTATAAACAATGCTTATTAGCATAGGCCCTTGTCTTGGTCCCCACCTAAAAATAATCAGCACTAGCATCATATTTTGTTGACTACTACAGTCCTAAATTTGTTATAGAAAATCATAAAATTGGCCGGCACCGCAGCTCACTAGGCTAATCCTCTGCCTGCGGCACTGGCACCCCAGATTCTAGTCCTGGTTGGGGCGCCAGTTCTGTCCCTGTCACTCCTCTTCCAGTCTAGCTCTCTGTTGTGGCCCAAGAAGGCAGTGGAGGATGGCCCAAGTCCTTGGGCCCTGTACCCGCATGGGAGACCAGGAAGAAGCACCTGGCTCCTGGCTTCGGATCAGGGCAGCGCAGCAGCCGTGGCAGCCATTTGGGGAGTGAACCAACGGAAGGAAGACCTTTCTTTCTGTCTGTCTGTCTGTCTCTCTCTCTCTCTCTGTCTAACTCTGCCTGTCAAAAAAAAAAAAAAAAGAAAAGAAAAGAAAAGAAAATCATAAAATTTAGAATTGGAATCTGCTATAAGTATAACCACCAACCCATTTTACAGATGCAGAAACTGAACTACATAAAGTTACCAAGATTGTAGCAAAACCAATACTAGAATTCAGCTCCCTTTTCCTCCCTTCTTTTTTTAAACCCTATCACCATCCCTCTTTGGCATGCATATGAGACTATAATTGCATGTGAAGCTATTGAAATGTCAAATTCATTATCTTTTTTCAAACCTACCTCTATCTCTGGAAGTCTTCCTCCAGTTAACAATGATATCTCCAATGATGAATTATACGAAGAACTACTTTTATCTTTAAAAATATATTGGTAACACTCTGTATCACACATCTCAGTGTTCTGAGGCATAATGCTAAGTACTTTATAAGAATAGTCTCATTTAATCCTTGAGTGGACTCTGGAGGGGTATACAATTTTCACATGTAAAAACTGAGACACAGGAGATAACCTGCCCCTACCACTAAGATCAGAATTTATGACTATTGTTTCTTTAACAAATCCCTCAAGAGAAAATGAGCTTCTTGAGGGCAAGGATTGTATTCATCTTAGTTATTAACTCCAACCCTTTCTCACGGAAACAATGCAATAAATGTATGTTGAGTGAATGAATGAAAGTAAATCCTTTTCTACATTCTTGGCCTCACCAATTGCTTCTGCTTCCCTTACTCTACTTTCTAGTGT